CTCACCAGTCTTGCTCATGTCCACTTTCCTTGTCTCAGACCTCTAAATCTGCATTCTTACATCTCTCCTCCTAAATCACCACCAGTTGTCAGTTGTCCTGCGGAAGAAATTAGAAAGCATGGAGCCCGTCAGTGAAGGACTTTCACAGCAGAACTGGAGTTCTGACGTCCTGCACTTGCCTCTACACTGTGGTCTGTTCACAGCCCTGGATGTGCATCCCCGTCACAGCCTCGGAGAAGCCAGTGCCCCGTCTGCAGTGCCTGCTCTCTACCAGAAAAGCCGGCTGTGCCCGGCAAGGCCCGGCCAAAAATCCCACCAGCACTCTATTCTTAACAGTCAGAATAGAAACAGGCTTGCGCCTTCATTTAAGTTGCGTTTTCTGCACTTGGTAAGCATTTTACACATTTATTCTATCCCCACGATGCCTGAAACAGTGTCTTCTACATGGTAGAAACTTGGTTAACATTCATTGTTTGGTTGATCCCATTGGAAATTGGAAATTTAGCAGAAAAACTTCCCCTTGGAGGAGAAAAGATGTGTAATAGTCCACGTGCCGTGTTAGAAACTTGCACCCAGTCACAGGCGCCGTAGTAGGAGCGGCTTTAACCTGACCGGATTTTTCTCAGTGCTGCAGCTGGACAGGTTTGAGTGTCTCCAACGATCAGAAGAGGCAGCGTGTGGGGGCGGTTTTCAAGGCAGTCATCTTGGTGCCCTTCCGCTGAGTGCAGAACTGCCTGGCATATTTTATGTGTACAATTAATACTTTCAAATTTTTCTTCCATTGTATAACTCATTTAAATTCAATATACAAGTATGAAGGAATGGATCCAATGCAAATTTTCAAGACAAAGGTTGTCCTGGAGCTTGGTTGAATGTGTGGGAGCCAAATCAGTCCCTCACGGGCTGGTTAGTGCCTCACATAGAAGACATCTCTGTTCCGTCTGGAGGCTTGTCTCCAAGCCCACTGCTTTTCTCTCTGAAGCACACTGCTTTTGACAAGAACTCAACAAGAATTTACAAATTTACAAACCCCAAATCCACACATTCCTCTTAAGGTTCAAGTGGTGGCATGCCCAATATTTACCTACATACGGTACGACACTCAGAATATGGAAAGTAGATTCTAGCAACACAGCTTTGCTTTGCTTAGAGCAATCTCCTCTCCAACTCTTTTCCATCTGGCTTCCACTTTGCACGTTATTTGTGTTTGGAACAGAACGTACAAGACCACATAACACATAGAACTCAAGGTTGACACTGAAACTGTTTTATATCCTCACGGATGTGGTTTGTCTGTGCATTGTCATTGGATATTACAGTGTCACGGGTGACATATTTGGCACCAAACCAGAATTGGCATCGGCAGAACCGCCTGCAGATGTGTCCACTACATTCTTACAGAAGTCGATGAATGAAAAGTCTGTGGCACATCGACTCCCCTGCTGTCATACTGGAGACTGCCCAGCACCACTGGAGGAAGTTGTGCAACTGCTGATGGGCTTCGTTGGGAAGGAATGGTTTCGACCTCCGCTGGGCCCTGGCGGCTTCCTTCCCCTTCCCCTGCTCCTTCCCCAGTGTGCCTGTTCAGCTCAGCAGTGTCCCTCCCGGCACCCCAAGCCCCCAGGCGGGCCTCTGTCTTCCTGCCCTGCCTTCCCTCCCTCCCGCACAGAGGCAGCAGAGGGGTGCTTCTTCCCGAGGCAGCACCTCCGAGTGGGAGAGCAGCCCTCTCCCCAGCCCGTTCTCCCTGGAGGGCCCCACCCGGGCGCCCCATCGATTCCCCTCCTGCACTCCGTGTTCATGTCTCAATTTGCAAATTTTAAAAAGGAGAAAGCTAAAGCCCTCCTCTGCCTTCGGCCTCAACTTCCTTCCCTGCTGACCTTGTAGAAAACAAGCGTCCTCCCTTCCGCTCAGCTCTTCAGCCCACCACAAGCAGAACGCTTCGCTGGAACTTCCCTCGTAAGGCAAGCAGTGGCCTCCTGGTTCCCTGGATTCTCTCCTTGCCCGGCTCCTCGACACCCACAGGCTCCTTCTCTCCCCTGCACCTCGTCATCCCCTTGCTCAGCCTCCGCCCCTGCGTGTTCCCTGGGCTAGCTACATCCAGATCTGCAGCTCCAGCCAAACTCCTGCGGCGGTCCCCGAGCTGCCTGGCCCCTCTGCAGACCTGCGGGAGGCACTGGCCCCAGCACGTCCGGACTCACAGAGTGCTGGCCTTCATGCCGAGTGCTTCCCCACGCGGTCCTAACGGGTCCCCTGGCTCACAGAAAACGCGCCCTCATTTCTCTAGAACGTCCAGGGGTGTCTGGGACTCCTCCCTCCCCAGGACTCCCCACTCTCAGAGGATAACAAGCTGCAAATTGCAGCTTTTTCCTTGTTTCCTCGCCTTCCCTGAGGACTTTTCTAGGCACGCCCTGCCGGTTCAGCCCTTCTGTGGCTGGCCTCCTCCTCCCTGGCACTGACAGTGTCCCCAGACACATCCATCATCCCGCGCTTCTTGCAGGCAATGGAAGCCCACCGCCTCTGTGACACTGGACATGCCACTCTGTCTGTTCCTCAGTTTCGTCATCTGTAACAAGTGGGCCGTCACAGAGCCCTCTGCATAGCGTTACGAGCATTCAGGAAGCTGACATACGTTCTGACCTGAGGAGGCTGCTTGGCCCAGGACGCAGCCGGTCCATGAGCCTTGGCGTCGTCATCACCACTCGCGAACACCTAGAACACCAGTGCCAACTCCAGCTGGCCCCATCTAGTCTGCAGGCCAGTTCCTGTGCCCTTTGCCCTCTCAGGCCCCGCTTGTGCCCACACCTGACCACTGCAGACCTCCATTCCCTGGTCATCCATGCCAGGAGAGCCCGCCCTCCCGTCTCCACCAGCTGGACTGCAAGGTCAATTCAGTATCACCTTCTTCAGGAATCTTCTCAGGCTCTAGTCAGCCTCCTTCCCCTTCCCCAAAAGTAGAACCGGCAGAAGTGGCCGTTCCTTCTGATTTCCAGCCAGCACTCAGGCCATGGTTTCCGCCAGCCCTTGCAGGAGCCCATTGTCCTTCTTCCTGTTTGATGGTGACCGCCTTGACCGTTGGAATCTGCAACCGTCTGTCTTGAAATTCCCTAGTCCAGTGAATGGCAAATAAATCCTGGGTGAACTAGAAGTTCAAATTTTAAATTTAGTGGAACTCATGGGCCAGGAAGATGGTTTTTCTGTGCCGAGTTTGGTTTGTCACTATTGGTTTCAGGGGTTTCTTCCTTGAAATTTTCAAAACCAGTTTCAGACCTTCTCCAAAAACAATCATTTTAAAAGCAAATCTGTCACTTAAAATTTAAATACATCAAATTGCTTTAATTTCTATGACGGATCTTAGGTTTATAGTATATGGAGTTTTAGAATTGCTACATCTCAAAAAATGCATGAAACTAAAAAATGCTGAATTTGCTTTAACATGGCTACAATTTGATAAATATTTTGGACGTTTATTTGCAAAGGAGTATAAAGAACCTTTATTTTAAAGACTTGTTTAGTGGAGCTGAAATATCGCCATTGTACTCCACTAGAATGAAACATTTGTTGTACTGGATTTTTGTGTGTGTCTTTTTTTTTTTTTTAAATTCTTTGCTCTTTAGACTGTTGTTTAAAATCTTATGTTTTTTAATGTGTTACCAAGGAGAAAATGTGATGGCAGATTCCATAGTGTAGAATGGTATGCCTCCCTCCCCTCCCCAGCAGCACACTCATAATGATGTCTGCATGCATTCTCACCCACATCAACAGACTTTTGTTCCAGACCTGAAAAAGACAGCCTCCCACTAAACAAATAAGCTCTCCAAAGGATGTGTTTTCTTTGGTGTTCCTGCAAATTAGCACAATCCTATGCTGTGCTGTGTGGGATTTCAGAGAAGCATTTCGTTATTTGTCCTCAACAGAAAAATGTGCAAAAGCTTGGTTTGCTTATTTCTCATGCAGTTCGTTCACTTTTATTTCAATCAGTATCACCGTTTATGGATTCAGTCACATGAATGACTATGCTCTTCAAGTCGAGTTGAATCTGTCCTCTGAAACTTATCCTTTGGTCCAAGGAAACTGATGTATGCAGCCTTAACTTTTTAAAATTGAACCTGAATATTATCAAAGCCGTGTTTGAGAGTGAGGTTTGAAATGAAATCAGGTGTGTTACATGGCAATGTACTTCCTAATACCACTTGGAAAGCCTTATTTATAACTTGGGCCCTGAGAATCTACCCTGAATATGTCTTTGAAACATGCTGTTTTTCTTTTCTTCTTGATTTCAGTTTACTTGGTCTAATGATAGCGAGTGAACATAAATGCCAAATTGGATGGCACTTTCCAGCTGTGAACAGAACTTTATACTTTAAGTACCAATTTGTGATGAAAGACTGCGTCTAGCTCAATTCTCATCAGCATTAGAGGTTTTAGCAATTGCCAATTATTTTTCCAAATTACCTATTTTAATTAAGTAAAATATTGTGAATTTAAGATTATGAAGTGTTCAAGCATTATTTTATCTTTAACTAATTAGTGAGGGAAATGGAAATAATATTTGGGGACATTAAGTGGCTATTTATGGAGCAACATGCTTCTGTGGTTTCAGCGCTGGCATTTAAGGGGAACACGCACTTTTCTTCTCCTATTACATGTGGAGCGTTTGCTGGAGCATATCCCGGGCCAGTGCTTTGTTCTCACAACGTAAATCTGTGCATTAATTGAGCCGAGACGTTCAGGGCACTGAGGATCCCTCAGTGCCCCTTCCAGGCCACACTCTCTGGACCAGACCTCAGCCTGCAGCTCAGGCGGGACACTGATTCCCACCCACAGAGACGACTGCTACCTGTGGTTCAGTTTTGCGATTTCTGCCCTAAGCTCCAGACAAGAGATGCGTACAGACCAAGGAAAACTGGCCCGGCAGCTTACTGCAAGTTGGAAGACACTGAAAGCCATTATTAACTGACATGGGCAACGTGATTTTGAAAAATCTTCCTTTTATATTTCAGCGCAGACTCTGGGAATCCCTCGACCGTTGCTTCAAGGCAGAGATCACAAACCCTTTTCAGAGCCGTGAATCCCCAGCATTCCTCCTGCCGCGCACGGCCCATTAACAGTGGAAGCTCCAGAGGGGACAGGGTGAGCCAGGAGTTCTGCTTGGCTGCTTCAGGGAGAGCCAGTGTTTTGCAGTCTAGCGAACTAATTGCGCACTCCTGATGAGATCATTAGAGGACAATAAAGGAAAATGGAAACAGTTTGCAATATGTGTAGGCAAATTTCCATATAGGATCATTTTTGTTTTGCTTAAATGCTGGGTACAGACTTTCTGTCATGAGCTGGGTTCGTTCTGATTTTTAATGTGCAGCTTGCAGCTTAACCTTCAAGCACACAGTGAGTCAGGCTGGTTTGTGCCTGTGCGCACACAGGCGATAGTGACAGTGTGCTGCTCACACAGGAGAGAGGGTGCTGGGACTCCTGCCCCATGTGTTTCCTTCATCCACCTAATTCTGGAAAATCACGCGAGAGAGTTCTATTTTACCTGCATTTTTGTATTAAGTTGCTGCTTTCAGAATTGTTTCAATTTACTCAGCAGGCAATTTTAGGTAATATATTTTAAAATACAAAAATAATGAATTTTGTCATGGTTTCCAGTGTAGTCATATGAATTCTAGGAGTTTCTAGGAGGGGAGCTTTGTGCATCAGTTTGGATCCCGTATCACTTTGGCAATCTGAAGCACCCAAAATGAATCAGACAACCTGGATGGATGACTCCAATTAAATACAAGGGAAGTCAATAAAGATAAATGCAAGCTACCGTGTTGAACAGTAATAATCCTATAAATACACAATAAGAAAGAAAACCAATCACATCTGGTATGGGGGAAAGATGAGGAGTTCTGATAAGTGAAAACTGAGTGCAATTGGGAAAACAGCCAACTGCTTTCTAACCTATCAGTACAATTGCTATCGAGCATAAGGTGCCTGGAGTAATTCTGCCTCAAAACAGCAAGCCCTCAGCTACAGCACAAGGCTCCAAACACTGAACACAACTTAGGGGAAAAGAACTGATTTCTAACGATGGTCAACCCCAAAAGGCCTTGGGTGGCAGAACAGCGGAGACTGTTGGCACCGCATGAATCCATTTTTCATTACTCTGATGAAATCCCTAGGCAGCCTGCTGTATAGAGAGCAAATTATTTTGATCACGGATCCAGAGGCATAAGGTGTATGGCCCTCTTGCTGGAAGGGTCCCAAAGGAACACAGGCATCATGTGGCAAGAGACAGGAGGTGCACAAGTGCCCCTCTGCTAGGAGGCCCCCAGGAGTTGAGCATGAGGGCTGCACCCTGATGATGTCATCTGACCCCAAAATACCCCACATCCAAGCACCACAGCCAAATGGTTTCCATCAACATAAAACTTTAGGGACTAAGCTCCTTCCTAAGGTCAGGGAGAAAGCCATATCAAACTACAGCGGCAGTACCCAATGGCAAAACTTCTCTGAGAGCAGGCAGGCAGTTCAAGGACTCTGTGGAAGGAGCATTTTAACGTCTCGCCTGCCCAGCAGTGGCGACCCAGCTTGGCTCTGGGAGCACCCCTGGAGTCAGGAAGACCTGAAAGGGGTGCCCTTGACCCCCTGCCGTGGCCCAGCCTCCTCCGTGGGAGCCGTGCTGAGTGCTGCTAAAGCCGAAGCAGCCCTGGATGTCTCAGCCAAACAGGCCTAGGTTCAGCATGGAAGGCACCCAGCGTGGCCACAGCAGTCCTCCTGGAGGGGCCGTGGTCAGGCCCTCACTGGTGCCTTGCCACGGACAGCATGGAAAAGGTCAGCGTCTGATATTTAGGTTCAGCTTCAGAAAGACCATGTGGTGGCCCAGGGACATGATCTGATAGGTCCTCCTTGACTTCCTGCCTGTAATGCTAAGTGGGGAATCCTTTCACCTCCAGGATTGAGGCAGGCAAAGGATCGTAAAACCCAGGAGGGAAAGGAAGAACTGGGTAAGCACACTGATTAGCCAGAAATCACTGTTCTCAGGCCTGCATGTTGCCTGGGCTCACACGCTACCCAGGCTTGCCAGCTGTCACAGATGAGATACAGGATGCCCAGCCACTTTGAATTTCAGATGAACTACACATAATTTTTGTCAATATGTGTCATGCAATTCTTAAGGTGTGCTTATACTAAAAATTATTTTGCTATTTATGTGAAATGTAGAGTCCACTGGACATGCTGTGTTTTATCTGACAACCACGGCATCAACCATGTGCCTGGCACATACATGGCCCATGTCCCACGGTCACCTGCAGGAGTCCTAGCCGACATCTGAAGCTACCACATGACAAAGCAAGCCCAAAGCCCCTGTCTCTGAAACACGGGAGTTTAAGGTACTGGGTACAGTCACTACCCCGGAGGAAACTGACACAGATGTTACTGTTTTCTTGAGTTTTTTTTTTTTTTAAGTTTTATTTTATTTATTTGAAAGGCAGAGTGAGGGGCGAGGGGGAGATGCAATCTTGCCATCTGTTAGTTCACTCCCCAAATGGCCACAACAGCCAGGGCTGGGCCAGGCTGAAGCCAGGACCCTGGAACTCCATCCAGGCCTCCCACATGGGTGCAGGGGCCCAAGCACCTGGGTTTTCTTCTCCTGCTCTCCCAGGTGCATTAGCAGGGAGTTGGATCAGAAGTAGAGCAGCAGGGACTCAAACCGGCACCCTGATATGAAATGCAGTCTCCCAGGTGGTGGCTTACCCACAGTGCCACAATGCAAGCTCCTAACACAAATTTTAAATACACATACACACACACACAATATGGAAAACACAACACACAATGTGGAATACACAACACACATACACAGTTCTCAAAGAGTACATGGAAAATGGATGTCATGAAAAAAAAAAACCAGCATGGATTTCAAAAATATTGGCCAAAAAGTCACCTTCTTACTCCCTTTTACAACATTTCTGCAGTCCCCTCACGTACACACCTCGCCACCCAGAAGTCACTTTCCTTGGCCTGTGGCACCCACACACCCAGGCACAGGGCTGCTTCCCAGCCGGCTCCCTGCTCCTCTCTCCCACACTGAACTCCATCACCTGGCACAAAGCCACGCCTGCATCCCTAACACTATGTACCCGCTTACAAACCCCAGTGAGGGTGCACACTGGCATAAAAGACCCTTCCTGATCCCCCTGCTCAGTGTGTCCCTGGACAATGCCCTGGGCTGGGCTGTAGCCGCCAGCCAGTGGGGACCAGCCTGTGGGATCCAGAAGCTCCAGGCACTGCGTTCAGGAGAACGAGTACAATCTGGGCGTGGGAAGACGGGGAAGTTGGCCTGGGCCCAGAACGTGCCTTGTGTGTTCTAAGAACTGTGAGAGGCCCACATGGAAGCAGACGCCCAGACTCAAGGGGGCGTCGGTGTCTTTGTGTCCCGGGTGCTTTCTGAGCCTCAGATCATACCATGGGGAGACTCACCTGGTGGCGCTGTGGGCATCAGCAACTCAGAAGTTACTTAAACATGTCTCCGACCTGTGCCTCTAAGTGTCACCGTAAATGCACTATGGCAGATCCTATGTGAATCTGTGCGCGCTGTCTCGGCCCCGGGACGAGGCCGCCTGCAGTGTGGACTCCGCCTTTCACTGTCTTGTCCCTCTCCCGGAGGGTTCGGTTCTCTGTGCACATGGGCTGCTGAGCAGGTCTTAGCTTCTAGCCTTCCCTGGGGCTGCCCCCGACACAGAGATGCCCCTTCTACCCATCCTCTGGGGCTCAGGTTTAACAGTGTTGCTTGCTTCCAGAAGTCTTCCTCGAGCCCCTGATGTGGGCCCGGTGCCCACTGTCAGACAGTCGTGTGGACACCACTTTACCCTGCATGCAGCATGCCTGGGGAATATCCTTGCATCTCCCTCTGAGCTGCCATGGGTCCTCTCTTTGGAGAGAGGCGCCTGTGAACTCCTCTGGTCTCCTCACCACCTCTAGGCTCTCGAGGCCACAGGCCCACACACTGAGGTATCCATCATGCCAAAAGTCCCAGGGCACTCCCAGCTCAGAGTGTCAAAAGCAAAATCTCTCCTCTTCCCCCACACCTGCTGCTCCCCCTGCCTGGCCTCCGCATCCACGCTGGGACCTGAGGCACCTGGAGCCACTTCAAACTTCTCTCTCTTCCCAGGCCAGGTGGGCACAAAATGCTCTCAGAGTTGCCTCCCCTCCACCTTGTGTGCCGTGGCTCTTGTCCTTCTATGGCCACTGCCCAGCTCCCACTGGGGCGCTGTCCCCTTGGGCTGCACACCCTCCTCAGTCCCGCTCCAGGCCCTTGTGTTCATTTTCCACCGTCAGTGGCCTAACACAGCCCACGTTCACGATGGTGCAGCTCAGAGTTCAGTCTGCCGGGTGCAGTCCAGGTGTCTGCAGAGAACCTCCCTGCCCGCGCTGTCCCAGCCTCCATCCCTCGGCTCACAGGCCCCACGTCTAGCCAACACCTCTGCCTCTTGCCAGCCTTTCCTACTGTGTTGCCTCTGACCTTGTTTGGCCTTGCTCCCGTACTGAGGACGCCATGATGATGTCAGATCCATGCAGAGAACAGCAGCATCTTCCCATCCCAAGTCACCAGGGCTCGTGTGTCTGCACAGTCCCTTTGCCATGGCTGGGGCACGCCGAAGGTTCCAGGGCCAGGCTGTGCACACCCGGCGGTGGGGGACAGGTGTCTCTGCCTGCTGCAGCAGCACTGGAGTGCTCTAAGATGTGTTGCTTCGACTCACCGTCACTCACAGCGACCTGAGGAATAACAGCCCAAACTCCCCAACAGGGGCCATCACGCTCTGCCTCCTCGGCGTCTCCTCAGGTTGATCTTGAGGATTCCGCCCCTTCCTGTGTTCCCTGCTGTTTTGTCCATGCATCTTGAGTGTCAAGTGGCTCTATGGAAACTGTCGCTAGACCGGGAACCACTGGGGTATAACTACTCCCTAACTGACAACTACGCCGATACTCAGCATACTGATGGGCTTTTGCCTTGAGATATCTACCAGGCACTAAGAATCCATAGGAAACAACTACAGTCCTTGGAAAGCGCTAAAGATCATAACACTGGCTGGTTCTCGTTAGACTCTGCAGATGGGACGTCTTGCTCCTTGGCATGAGCGTGTGAGGCAGGAGCCATCCCTGCCCCCAGCTCGGGGAGGACAAACCCAAAACAGGGGAGGCTGAGAGTCCACGCACTCCGCGTGTGGAGGCAGGACTGGACCTTGCGCCCCTCCTTTCTGCCTCGAGGTGAGATGAAGCTGCTGACTGCCTTCAGGCCGGCCTCCTTAGTCACATCTGGAGGAGACACTGAGATGGACTTGAGAGGGGAATTACAGTAAAAGCAGCCACGGGAAGATGGTGGAGGGAAGCAGAGAGGGTTTTTGCAACTGCCTGTGCATGCCTGGTTGAACTGAACCACTAAACCCTGCTCACCCCTCATTACCTGTGTCTGAGGACGGGCAAGAGGCTGAGCTGATGAACCCTTAAAGAGCAAAGCCTCCATTTTTATGCAAATAGCCAAGAGCAGTAAACCCTGGAGAGAGACTCCAGTGGAATGTGCATTACTGAAAGGCCCAGCAAGCCACAGTGTTATTCAGGATTAAACTCCTGGCAGCGACAACGTTTTAAATTTGTGTTTTAAATTATTTTTAAAATGAGAAGAGGTAATGGCAAAATATAACCTTGAATTTCACTGCTTCAATAATGCGTCACTATCTCGAGATGACTTAAACATTCCATTCTGAATTACACATTATTAGGAAATAATACTGCTCCTCCGACGGCAGTACTGAAAGCTGAGGGCCTCTGACTTGAGTACCGTCCTCCAGCTCCACTCACCCTCTTTAGCTTTAGAAATTCATGTTGGGAGCCAGTGCTGTGGCGTAGCAGGTAAAACTTCTGCCTGCAGGACCGGCATCCCCTATGGGTTCGAATCCTGGCTGCTCCACTTCTGATCCATCTCCCTGCTAATGTGTCTGGGAAAGCAGTGGAGGATGGCCCAAGTCCTTGGGCCCCTGCACCATGTCAGAGACCTGGAAGAAGCTCCTGGCTCCTTTCTGGCTTTGGCCTGGCCCAACACTGCCAGTTACAGTCATTTGGGGAATGAACAAGCAGATGGAAGATCTTTCTTTCTCTCTCTCTCTCTCTCTCTCTCCTCTCTCTCTCTCTCAACTTTTAAAAATTATTTTTAGGCCGGCACCGTGGCTCAATGGGCTAATCCTCCACCTTGCGGCGCCGGCACACCGGGTTCTAGTCCCGGTCGGGGCGCCGGATTCTGTCCCGGTTGCCCCTCTTCCAGGCCAGCTCTCTGCTGTGGCCAGGGAGTGCAGTGGAGGATGGCCCAAGTGCTTGGGCCCTGCACCCCATGGGAGACCAGGAGAAACACCTGGCTCCTGCCTTCGGATCAGCGCGGTGCACCGGCCGCAGTGCGGCCAGCGGCAGCGGCCATTGGAGGGTTAACCAACAGCAAAAGGAAGAGCTTTCTCTCTGTCTCTCTCTCTCACTGTCCACTCTGCCTGTCAAAAAAAATATTTTTAAAGATTTATTTATTTATTTGTTTGAAAGGCAGAGTCACAGAAAGGCAAAGGCAGAGAGAGAGAGAGGTCTTTCATACGTTGGTTTGCTCCCAAATGGCCACAATGGCCAGAGCTGGGCCAATCCGAATCCAGGAGCCTAGAGTTTCTTCCAGGTCTCCCATGCAGGTGCAGGGTCCCAAGGACTTGAGCCATCCTCTACTGCTTTCCCAGGACAGCAGAGCTGGGTCGGAATTGGAGCAGCTGGAACTCGAACCGGCACCCACGTGGGATGCCAGCACCTCAGGCAGCAGCTTTACCTGCCATGCCACAGCGTGGGCCCAGATACAACATTTTAACATCTAATTAAAAGTTGCATCTGTTTGGCATTCCATGGTTGTAAAAATGTTATTATTTTTAGCTAAAATGAAGGAAATTGATGGACTCTCAAAGGAAAAGTTATCCTATCCTTATTATAGTGGCACTTACGCAGTTAGAAACAGCAGCAAGTGGTGTGTCATGTTTATGTGAAGAGCACTGGACTGGGTCCCTGGCTATGGACATGAGTCCTGGTGCCATGTCCCCTAATTTGTTTTTCTACCTTCATCAGAGATTGTGTTAAGTATTCAATAGGACAAGCATTCTGCTAAGTTCCTTCTAGATAGTATCTCATTTACTCTTAACAAGATCATGAATGAAGTCAACCAAACTATTATCCTATCTAGATTCTCTGCACGCTGGGGCACTGAAGGGCCTCCAGGGTCGCTCTGGCAGTGGAGTGCCAAGGGACGCCTTCCTCTCATGCCTGCTGATTGTCTTGGAAGAGCCCGGGGTGATGATCCTAGCATGTGTGGACGCTCTTGGCTCTTTCCCCTCCATCTCCTTCCAGTGGCCCCCGACGCTGCTACGTTTCCAACACTGCGCCTTCTTCCTCTACTGCTTCCTTGATGGCAGCACAGGGCCTGCCCACACCTGACCAGCCCCTCTCACCGGGAGGCTGGCTCTCATCCGGGCGGGGGTGGGGAGGGTCTGTTAACCTTCTCCCTCTCTTTAATTTTTCCCTTCAGTTACTTTATTTGTTTATTTACTTGACAGATAGAGTTAGACAGTGAGAGAGAGAGACAGAGAGAAAGGTCTTCCTTCTGTTAGTTCACTCCCCAATGGCTGCTATGGCCGGAGCTGCGCCGATCCGAAGTCAGGAGCCAGGTGCTTCTCCTGGTCTCCCATGGGGTGCAGGGGCCCAAGCACTTGGGCCATCCTCCACTGCACTCCCAGGCCACAGCAGAGAGCTAGACTGGAAGAGGAGCAACCGAGACTAGAACCCGGCGCCCATATGGGATGCCAGCACTGCAGGCCGAGGATTAACCAAGTAAGCCACGGCGCCGGCACCCTTCAGTTACTTTTGCCATGTACCTAAGAACAGTTATTAGATTGAGACCCCCCGAATCAAACAAATGTCTCTGCATGCATCTATCCTCTGTCAAGTTCAAGACATGGGCTTGTTGTCACCTCTGTATTTTTGGGACTCTGTGGTTTGAGAATATTGCTTGATTTTGACAGAGCTGATGCTTCCAGGAAATTCATAGGATTCTGCAGCCACTGGAGTCCCCAGGAAACTGTGGTAGCTAACCCATCCGCTTGGAAGCTGTTACACAGACAATGTCACAGTGCCCCCCTCTCTGTATCCTCTCTGGACCTCAAGATGTCTCCACCTGTGTTTCATTCAAGGATATTTCATTTACTGCAGAGTCAGCGCAAACACATTCATGTCCCTTTCCATGCAGAGTCTCACAATTCACCAAGACTTAGGTGAATAATTACCTTTTTCCTTTTCATGTACCATACTCACTGAAAGGTATTAATAACTGATGTGTCTTTTTGACTAAACTTTAACAAAGCAGCTGGTTTATAGAAACTTAAATTACAATGTGCACAGTATTGACATCGTGGAAGGAAAGTTAGGCATTTTAGTAATTAAGTTAAACAGTTGTTTTGCCCCACAACTCAATATTCCTTTCAATTTCCCAACCCCAATTCAGAATTACTGAACCTGAACTTGCTGAGAACATACACACTTAGCTGAATACCACCCCCTCCGCTGAATGTGGGGGGAACAAAATTTCTCTTCTCGGAGGAGTTCCTACTACACACTTTGGTTTTGTTTTTCTTCCCTCCTCAGCTACCATATTGAGCACTGACTATCTTGGGCCTTCTCCTAGTCTCTTTCTGACTATCACTGTGTTCGCTCACAAGCACTGTGACATGGCAGGCCACTGAAGGTCACAGTTAGGACACCGCAGATCCAGGGTTCCGACGTGCGAGTCAGCTCACATGGCGTCTGCTCCGTCAGGAAGGTGCTGCACATCACTTCATCAGCATCCTGTGCATTTGCCTCTCCATTGCGTCCCAGACCCCAGTGAAATCCCCTAGTCAGGAGCTCAGGGTCTGGTCGTTCTTTTTCTTTCTCTTTTCTTTAATGAGTTTTCTCAGTTCTTTTTTTGAAAAAGATGTATTTATTTGAAAGACGAGTTACAGAGAGAGGTGGAGACAGAGAGAGAGAGAGTCTGGAGCTGGGCCAATCCAAAGCCAGAAGCCAGAAGCTTCTTCTGGTCTGCCACTTGGGTGCAGGAGCCCAAGGACTTGGGCCATCTTCTGCTGTTTTCCCAAGCTCATTAGCAGGGAGCTGGATCAGAAGAGGAGCAGCTGGAACTCGAAGCGGCACTCACATAGGATGCTGGCGCTGCAGGCCAGGGCTTTAACCTGCTGTGCCACAGTGCAGTACCTAGTCTGGTTGCTCTTTACTGACCCTACCTTGTAGTTTCTCCTGCATCTGAATCCTCTCCATCAGCAGGACTGATCTTTTTATCACCCTAAGACACGCCATATTTGCATTCTTCTCGTGGAAGTCTTACTTAGGATTATTCATTTTCAAAGTTTTATGAAATATTTGTATCATTTCTTGGTTTCCTTTTGGGTTTGGGTCTCACACCCCGCCAACTGTCACATCAGATTTCATGCACTCCCTTCTAGAACATTCCATTGGGGGGCATGTAGATATACTCATTTATCCAACAACTGAGTGCATTCCTTTCTATGGCTCTAACATATGCAACTGGTTCTCTCTTGATGGACATTAGGTTATTTCAAGGCTTTTAAAACAATTTCATGTGTCATGTTTTGTGTGCTTGTGTGAACATGTCTGAACAATGCATTCACAAGAATAGAACGTACATGTTTCATTTTTAGGCTGATACTGAACTTGACCCCTTTCATCCTCCCGAAGTCTAAGAAACTTTGGCACAGTCCACATCTTCTTCTTAGCATTGAGTATGTTGGCTTCTGGAGTTGGGAGTGGGCTGTTCCTTGGCTCTGTGGCTACCTGGACCCAATAGCAGTTATTATATCGTGCATGGACTCTCAAAATCCCAGGCCAGTTGTTTAGAATTTAGGAAAGGATGAAATCTGTAAACATGCCTTTGGTTTAGCCATGATAGTATGGCAGAGGCCTCCCCACGGTTAGAAAGAAAAAAAAAAACACTTATCCTGGAAATGAAATGTGGTCATTATCTGCTGGCCTGCAAATGTTTCATTTGTAGCTGTTCCAGCTTCTGCTTGTTAGCAGGGAGTGATGGTGTTAACCCCTGCCAGACAGCATACAGCTCAGTACGTGTGTGGAAGAAATATTAGGTGCATGAAGAAAAACTAGTTAAACGTTATCAGTAACTATTACACAGAGGCAGTAGTGTATCAATTCCCATAGCCGCCATGTAACATTGGAATATCCGATCAAATGCACTCATATAGCTATTTAAGGGAGATAAAGAAGCTAAAACCATATATAAGGAAATATCTCTCTTTGGGGCTCAGACTTTTGGATAAAAATCCAAGTGGGCCTTATGCTGGCATAATAATAATAATAAAAATAAAGAGTGTTTCCTGGCCTTGGTTCATGAATCCCACTACAATAGTAGTATTTTCTCAAGTGGATTTGCATGAAATCTCAAGTAAGTCTAGATGTTTTCATGCAACAGGCCTAACGTGCACACTTGGTCAGAGGGGTCAAATGCTGCTTACCAGGGGAAATGCGTGTCTTCATCAGCAGGAACGTCCATCAGTTAGGGTCTGGGACTGCTGGGCCACAGCCTGAAGGACAGCTAGCAGCCACCAGCCAGCTGCTGGGGCCAGGCCAGCTGGGAGAGCCACAGGAGCCCATTCACCCAGCACTGGGCAGGTGGTGACCTCCAAGAGGACCATCCTGTTGGGTGGGATGTGGTCCAGGAGCGGCAGGTGCAGGTGACCTTGGAACTCAGTCGTCATTATCTACATGGCTTCCAGTCCCGTCAAACCCTAGTAGAACCATGGTTCTCCGCCGTGGCTGCATCTGAAATCACATGGGAAGATTTATAAGTTCTGATGCTGATTTCTGTTTCCCTTGGCTGTGCAGTAACCCCAGTCCCACTCCGATGCCTCTAAATGATCTGAGTCGCATGTGGAACACGGGCTTTTCAGCTCTCATTTGGTTCTGCTAGTTTCTTCCTCTCCTGCTCTCCCTGATCCCATGGGAGAATAAATTTGGACTCAGCCCATGCAGGTTACCCGTATGACCAGTGCCTGCCTGAGAAGGACCCCAATCCACGCTGTCAGTCGGTGCTCTGGCCCCATCTTGCCTCCTGCAGATCCAGGGGTGCGGTCTGAGCACAGTCTGGGGCATGGGCGTTCTGAGAAGCTGCCCAGGTAGGGCCATCCTGCAGCCTCCCCTAGAACAAGCACAGTAGGACGACAGCCAGGCAAGGTCAGCTAGATCTGGTCCCCAGAGCTGAGCACCAAAACAGACCCTGGCCGTGTCCAAGCCAAACCCTGACACTGGAGTCACAGACAAAGGGCAGCTGCAGAGCCTGGGTGACCTGGCAGGGCTGACGAGGGCTGGCGAGGGCTGCCCCGTGTGGGAAGAAGGGCACCTGCAGGACTCAGCAGAGACCTCGCAGTAAGAGCAGCTCCAGTTCTCCCGAGCCCAGCGGCTGACGGGATCCTGACCTGACCAGGTTTCACTAGGAAACGAGGGCGGCTCTGCCTGCAGGTGGAGGGTATCCAGAACTCCAGCAGGGAGGGACTGGAGGAAGTTAAACCTGATTTCTTTCCAGGTAATTGGCTGCGTGCTGGGTACACAGGCCAAGATGCAGCGATCCACTCCCACCTGGGGCCCCCAGGCATCTCCACACCTACCTGCCAAGGCCACTGCTTTGCATCAGCCCCTGTTCTGAGCCAGATTTCAGTTCTGAGGATTTTAATAGTACAAGAAGTATTATTGTCCATATTTTATACGCCTTTGTTCTTACACCTAACTTTATAATTGTATCTTATAAACTTAGAAATGGTCTGTGAGTGGTTTCAGAAAGTTTTAGTGGCATATGAAATACTAAAATTTATAAGAGAGTTTATACCAAAACAGATTTAGACTTCAGACTGAATTCCTTTTGGTGTGAGTTGTAAATTTTATTGTCAATACAAAGGTTGATAAATAATCACAAAGATCCATTTTCAAGGACAAAAAGAATTTACAGGTCTCGGTTATTATTTTAAATCTATGAATACTATATTTTAGAGGCAAATAGATGTTTTGGTTCATTATTTAAGTTGCCATGAACCAAAGAGCGTTCTTTCTCAGATAAGCAAAATTGCTTAGACATTATTTCAGATTTCCATTTCTTATTTTTCTGTTCTTACATGTAACTGTGAAGTTCTACAAATTTCCACTCTTTTAAAGAAAAAGGTTTGGCTTTTTAAAAAAATGTGTAAAATACTTGTTTTTGAGAACAGCAAGGCCATATGGGAGGGAGGTGATTGGGAGGTAGAAGTGGGTCAGAATCCATAACAAAACAGTATTTGTTTCTGTCCTCCCTGCTTTGCAATAACCCTAATCCTCCTCACATTCCTGCAGATATCCGCACTGCGGTCTTTCAGCTCCCATTCAGTCTCGGCCTCTCTCCTGCCCCGCCCCTCTGAGCAGGCCTGTGGCATCCTCGCCCCACTTACACCCTGGGCAGCTGGCCTGCTCCCCAGTCCACGCAGTCAGTGTGAATTTTCTCCTGAGTCTGGACAAGACTGCTTTGACTTCCTGTCCAGCCTCCACGTCACTTGGACTCTGGAAGCGATCCCAAGGGGGCCCCTGGCTCCAAGGCCCCTGGCCTTGGGTTAGGATATGGTGTAGGGGAGAAGGCAGAGTTACCCCCAAGATCTCTTTGAGCCACTCATTACTCCAGGAGCCCCAGGACTGACGGCAAAACCCTCAGATAACAAGTGTGCACTGCTCAAATCTTCACATCTCAGGCTCGGCACTGGGCTTTGGGACCTGAGACCCAAACTGGAGCCCCGTCACACTTGGAGCCCAGGCCGCACAGCTTGGAGGCGGAAGCCTAGACTTAGAGCCCAGTTATGAAGGATAGTGAGTGGCCTCAGACAGTCCCTTAATGGTCTGAGGCTTGTGGTCTTAACACACTTTCATGGTAGAATGCCTGTGGCACTTGGGTGGAGGAATACACGCCCAGGGTATGCATGTATGTCCCTGTGCATGTAAACTGTGAAGTGCTGGGCAGGGGTGTGCCATTGTGGCTTTTTTTTTTACGATTTACTTATTTATTTGAAAGGTGAAGTTACAGAGAGGGAGAGACAGTGTGCGTATGTATGAGAGAGAGAGAGAGAGAGAGAGAGAGCTTCCATCTGTTGGTTCACTCCCCAGAGGGCTGCGCCAGGCAGAAGCCAGGAGCCAAGAGCTCCCTCAGGGTCTCCAAGGTAGATGGCAGGGGCCCAAGCACCTGGGCCATCCTCCACTGCTTTCCCAGGCTATTAGCAGGGAGCTGGCTTGGAAGAGGAGCAGCCGGGATTCCTATCAGTGTCCATATGGGATGCCTGGGCTGCAGGCCATGGCTTTACCGGCTGCCCCACAACACTGGCTCCTACTGTTGTGGCTTTAAAAGAAGTTGGATGCCAAAGGCATGTGTTGAGCCTCCCCTAGCAGGCTAGGATCTAAGAGACTTTAACCAAAGGAGTAAGACCTCCTCTCTGTCTCAAGGGGCAGCCATCTACCAGAGCCTACATGGTGCCTGTTCAGAAAAGTGGATGGTTTGGTAGTCCTGGGTGTGGACAGGGGCTGGCACCGGGCCGGGGGTGGGCGGGATGCAGTGGCTGTGTAGAGGCCGAGGAGTGGCCCCCAACTTCAGCAGGGAGTGCCTCAGCCCCTCACCTCGCCCGCCGCGCCAAGGCCTGGGCGCTGCCAGGAGGACAAAGAGGCCATTGCGGGGAGAGAGCCCATTCCCCAGAGCACGGCCGGGCCGCCTCGCCAGGGACAGAGCAGCACGGGAAACGCCGGCCTGGCTCGCTAGGAAAGGGCTTGGTTTCCCTCACGGGAGGCTTCCATCAGCTGTGCGACGCGCTCTCCAGAGTCCACCAAAGGCGCCTTTGGGGCGAGGCGGGTGCGTCCTGGGTACCAGGGCGGTGGGCGACGGCCGCTGCCCAGCACCTGCCAGCGAGTGTGGTGCTCAGCTCCTCCGCATCTGCCGGGACAACACCGCGCTGTCTCCTCCCGCCGCTCCCTCGCGACTGTTTTGCTTGTTCCATTTGCCCTGCACGACAACTGAAAAAAAAAATGTAGATGAGAATCAACCCTTTATTCCAACAGCAGTGAAAGAATTATTTTGTTAATTGGTGTATTGATATCCCAAGAACTGCTTACTGTGCCAAGTTATTAAGGATAAGTAGACGAGAGGCAGATTAAACTTTGAATCACCTGTTCCTCTGGGCAAAACACATAAACCAAACTGACTGCAGCCAAATGTCATATTATTTACATGGCGCGCACAATTTATTTTCCTAAAAATGTGCTCAACAAAAGACTCAAATTTGCTCTTAAGCATATAATGGGTCCCACTTAATAGTGGAGCTCTCTGATGTGCCCTTCTGTATAATTAAATCATATGGGAAAATGTCACAAAACAAAATAAAATGTATTTATTTCAGCCGTATCTTCCCACAGCATGACATGAAGTCTGAAAAAAGAATCACTAAGCATTTTTATGCCATCTGTGCTGGTAGGAGACGCGTTTACCAAGCATGTCACTGTAAAATATTTCCTTTTGAATTAAGCATGGTCTGCTTATTACTATGTAGTGGCTGGCTGAATGGGTGCAGAAGTGGGCAGAATCCTGCGCCGGTCACAGGAATCCTTCTTCTCCTACGTACCACCACTGGTCCCCTATCATGCCTTTCACTGAATTTCAAGAAATGCAAAACAGAGGAACCATTTAAAAATTAGATCCATGTTAAGTTCCCCATGCTGCTTCATCCAAGCAAAGTTCTGGCAATACTTTCCAATCATAGCTTCTCGGGAGCAGGATGTGACAAGCTGGACAAGAGCGCAGGTGGACCCGAGAATCCCCGTGGCAGGAGCGCAGCCTGTGTGTCCGCGACGTCTGGACAGCAGCGGCTCAGTCCGCTCTCCCAGCGAGCCACTCTCCCACTGGGGGCTAACGCCATCCAAGTAGCGACATGAAAGTCATGAATTCTTACAGGAAGTTGTGTTTCCTGCATCCACTTTACACTTTGTCTAGCAGATGTGCAAATCCTCGTAAGGTTTTCAGAGGACAACTTGATTGGCCCAGAGGAACAGCAGCAGGTTCCAGCTTACACACACCTTTGAGTTTGTGTTCAAAGCCGATGTCCTTTGTGAGACAGCTATAAATGATCGAGTGTAACGTGGTGTACGATGAAAATATAACTGCTCTGAGTCCTGCTAACTGTGAACCTTCCCAAGTCAGTGACGTCTTAAAGCCTTCAAACCCAGCTAAATTAGAATATGATTTACCTAAACGTAAGTTAACAAGGATTCTACCATTTTGATCATGACTATACAGAAAAGCTATGATTTTTCTACAGTAGAAGAATCATAAATTATACAGTTTATCATAAAATCAAGGGCTAGCTCACTTAATAAGTGATCTTGCTTCCCCTCGAAACTAAACAGATTTCAAGTTCCATGAAGTTTTTTGGTGTGTGTGTGGGGGGGGTGCTTTTGTTTATTTTTATGTATTTGAAAGGCAGAGCAACAGAGAGAGAGGACAGTAATATCACCCATCCACTCTCGTGCTCCCCCCAAAGCCCGCAACAGTGAGGGTTGGGCCAGCCCACCCAGGAACCTAGAGCTCCAGCCGGTCTCCCACACGGGTGGCAGGGACTCCAGCATGGTTTCCATCATGCTGCCTCCATGTGCATTTTAGCAGGAAGCTGGATCGAAAGAAGCGGGAGTGGATATCCCAAATACTGAGGCCTAAGCTGCTGTGCTGCCATGCCCCACGCCCATAGAGTTTTTGAAGTCCCACTGCCTTAACAGCCAACCCACCAGTTCCCTGAAGCTGTTTCTGACAATGAAAATGCATGTGAAAGTGATTTGTAAACGATTACATGAGACACAAAACCTTGTTGTTGTCATTAATAGTATTATAAGCGGCGAAATTGTGGCAGCTACTTTTTTCAGTATTGATCGCGTGGGTTCCCAGCTGAACATAATACTTTTTCCTATGGCATTCATTTTATCCACTGAATGTTTCATTTTAACACTCTTTTGTGCACTGCCTTTGAACTTGATCTTGAACACTTTCTGTCCGTGGCTTATCCCTTCCAGTGACTGGGGGTCAAGATCCTCATCAGAGAGGTTGGAAGTTTCCCACAGGGAATCAGAGTGGGCACTGCAGCAAACATCCATTAAAGCTTTGAAGGAATTCTGCTTTCACTCCACTCTAACTTTTAAAGAGAAAATTAGTTTGACCACAATTAATTTAAAATATTGCTTTTGTGTAGCCTGGCTGCAGTTTCCCATCATTTCAAGGGTCTCTGATACTGACTGGCATTTTCAATCTAATGAAAGGGAAGACCACCTTTATTGATACAACAAATGACTCCACTTCCCAGTTCTGACTTCTGTCCCTGTGACCTCTGGCTTATCCCTCTGTGTGCTATGGGTCAGGGCCCGTATCGCAGAGGCTCCAAGTACCCCAGGGAGAGCGCTGGCCACCTACACTGAATATTTTTAAAGGAGAATCTTTGAAGAATTAAATATTTACAGCTGTATATTCCCTTCCAGCTTCTATGTGTTACCAGGGGTTGTGCTGTGTTGTAATAGTATAGCAGAAAATATGGATTTACTTTCAGTCCAAAAGTTTGGAAGTTAATACTCTGATTTTACCAGCTGTGAAAGATGTCGATATTTGAAGAAAAGCTGCCAGAACTAAAGCTAATGCAATCCAATAGCACATGTGCTAATTTATGTTTCTTTCAAAACCCAGAAGGCCAGAGAGGTCTGCACGGTCCCAATTTTGTTGTTTGGTGTCAGTTTTCCCTAAGTGTTCTGCAGAAACTTCTTTTAACCAAATTACCATGGGAAACCAAAAATGGAAAGCACTAATGATTTAAATGAACGTTTAATTCCAGTTGCACTTTAAAAAAATTATTGATTTCAAAAGCAGAGTTAAAGAGGGAGAAACAGAGAGAGAAAGATCTTCCACTCACTGTTTGACTCCCTAGATGGCTACAATGGCCTGGGCTGGGCCAGACCAAAGCCAAAAGGCAGGAGCTTCTTCCAGGTCTCCCACGTGGGTGCAGGGGCCCAAGGGGACTGGCTTCGGCTGCTTTCCCAGGTGTGTTAGTAGGGACTTGGACCAGAAGTAGAGCAGCGCGAATCCCATATGAGATGCTGGCTTTGCAGGCCCAGCGGCCTTACTCACTATGCCACAATGCTGGTCCCTCCTTTTTTTAAAGAAAGTTAATTAGAACTGTGACGATCGGGACTCATTGCATTCTGCAGGTTGGGGGTAAGTTATCAGCAGTGCATAGAATCACCTTTGATGGTCTGGACTCTCTTGCCGAGAAGGGAAGGATGCCTCCTCTGCCTGGGGACAGCCGAGTGTTGGAGGGTACACCAGGGCTGCATCAGCAAGTGTAGGTGCAGAAACCCTGCCCAGTGTTGCACATGAGCCAGAGAACAAGTGCACTGGGAAGCAGAGGGGCAGCGGCATGACCGGGCTTGCCGTGAGCAGTGCAGACAGAATCGCCGTGGTGCTGGACTCAGGGTAGCTGAGCAACAGTGGAGAAAGCCAGCGGGGGCGTGGATTGGGCCCCTCCCACGGCTGGTGCGCTGTGCTCCAACACAGCCAGGCTGAGGAGGCAGGGATTATTCCATGATCACCAGGTCTGATTATCCCAGATTAGGAATTAGCAGGAGGGACGTGGCAAAAAAAAAAGACTTGTCCAGAATGTGCTCGAAGCAGCTGGCAGGAGAGTTCGGGAGAGACGCGGCCCTGGGCAGGCTGGGTGGGGTGGGGAGCCCCAGCAGTCTTGGGGTGATGTCAGAGTGTGCGGAGGTCACCACAGTGAATACCACAGATGGGCAGCTCAAACAAAAGCTCATGCGTGCTCTCGTGGTTCTCAGGCCACAGGTGGATCAAGGTGTGGACAGGGTTGCTTTGTCCTAAGGCCTCTGTCCCTGGCTTCTCACTGTGTGCTCTAGTGGTTGTCCCTCGGTCTGTGTGTAACCTGTGTCTCATCTCTTTTTGTAAAGATCAGGCCCCACTCGTGCGACCTCATTTTACCTAGTCACCTCTCTAAATGCCCTCTCTCCAAACACGCTCTGAGCCGCTGTAGCGTAGGGCCCAAACATACGAATTTGGGAGGGGATGGGAGGATGGCGTCCAGCCCATGATGGAGGCAGGTGGCTGCCCCTGGAGGATAGGGGTTGTTGAGGAGTGAGACTACTGGTGGGGGGGGGGAGCCCCAGCTCTCCCTTGTGGTGCAGTTGGGAGCGATGACAAGGGCCGGTGGGGGTGGCGGCGGTCCAGTGGGAGCTGACGAGAGATGGTAGGACAGGGGTGAGGCTTCCAGCACTGAGAGGCAGGGTAACTGACCAGGAAGGAAGCTCCCTCCGTGGGCAGCTGTGCGTGCACCAGGTTGCCCCGCTTTCCGGCAGCAAGGCAGGTGGTTCTCGGTAGGACTGAAGCCTTCTGCTCCTTCACTCCCCTGAGGTCAGGCACCGCCCCCAGCGCATCGTCACCTGTGAGCCGCGACATGGAAGGGACAGGACGCGTCGTGTGGAAGATTTTTAGGTTAGGAGTTTTCTCTGAACCCCTCTAAATGGTGGTCCTCCTTTTTTGGTAACTTTACCCGGAATCCTGTCCTTCCACTGGAATCAGAACTAACCTCACGCATCTCTCAAGGATAAACCTTAATCAGTTTTGCTGCATGACCTAATGCACCAGGCTAACTCATCATTCGTTCTGATTGTGCTTCTTGTGCCTGATAATTTGGAAAGCAGCCGTATAGTAGATGCCAGTGCCCTTCAACAGCACAGACTCCTCCTCCGTGCACACCCTCCGTCTCTCACCGTGCACTGCCGGCCGTTCTCCTAGTTACCGTCTCTCACAAAGAGCCCACCCACCTGGACTGATTTCCACCTTTCCAACACCCACACTAGCTCATCTATGGAGTTTTGGTATTTCACAGGTCAAGAATGCAGGTCCAACTACAGTTTTTGAGAGCAAAACAGGATGTATTGATAGCTACATTAAGAATCCATTCAGTGACGAATAGTATTCTTAATGAAATGTTGGTTAAGATGTGATGTTGGCTGGGGAAAGTAAGGAAGCTTGCCAGGTAGTCACCAAGGTGAGAGAGAGGACTACTGGCAGAACCCATGCCACTCCACTAGGAGTGCAGGCTCGTGCTCCCTTGACCCCCGCCCCGTGCCCACCGCTGAGCACTACTGCCAGGACTCCAGGCCCCTCCCCACCACTGCAGACCACTGCTGGCACCCACAGGACCCTGTGCCCTCACAGCCCTGACCCGACCCCCACTGCTGCCACCACCATCAGAGCCACAAGGCCTGGAACGGAACAGGACCCCAGCCCTCCATGGCTGCTGTCATGGATTACAGCAAAAGAAGGTGTAAGGAGACGGCACTAGGGTACACAATGGCAAATGAAGCCAAAGTAGCTTCCAAGCTGAGACCCAAAGACACAGCTTCAGGAAAAAGCCTGTTAGCACATAGGCCACACTTCAAGAGCCATACAGCCCACCAGCCCACCCGACACATAGGTATCCCAAGAAGCAACACCTCCAAAGGGACACAATAGCCCTTTAGTAACAGAATCCACAGGAAAGGAGATAGAAAAATATCTGATAAAGAATGCAAAAGCATGACTGTAAGGATACCCAAAGAGACCTGATAGAATAAACACAGCTTAACAAAATTAGGAAGATAGTGCACGTCATGGATGGGACATTTAGCAGACAGACTGAGATCTTGAAAAAGAACCAAACAGAAATCTTGGAAATGAGGAGCTCAGTAAGTCAAATTAAATACAGAGTTGAAATCCTCAACAACATATTATATCAGTAGATCAAGCACAAGAGATAGAAGTCAAATTTGAAAACAGGTCTCATGTAATACCCCAGTTGGTGGTGGGTGGGGAAGGATTGGGCAGGGAGAAGAATGAAGAAGCCTGCAAAACCTTTGGGTACGCCATTAAATGAACACATATTTAAACTTTGGATATTCCTGAAGGAGAAGAGTAAGGCACAAAAAACCTATTTAATGAAATGATAGCGGAAAACATTCTCAAGCTTGAGAAATATGTAGACATCTAACTATAAAACCTTAGGACCCAAAATAGACATGACCAAAAAAAGATTCTCAAGCAAAATAACATATATCATCAAACTATCCAAACTACAACACACAGATTGCTAAAAATCACAAGAGAAAAATGCCAAGTTATGTTTGAAGGAAATCCCCTTTGGACTAACAGCAGATTTTGTTTTAAAATTTATTTCGTTTATTTGAAAGGCAGAGTTACAGAGAGAGAGAGAGAGGGAGAGAGAGAGATCTTCCATCCACTGGTTCACTCCCCAAATGGCCTTGACAGCCAGAGGTAGGCCAATCCAAAGCTAGGCACCAGAAGCTTCTTCTGGATCTCCCACTTGGGTTCAATGGCCCAAGCACTTGGGCTATCTTCCGCTGCCTTCCCAGGCCATTAGTGGGGAGCTGGATTAGAAGTGGAGCAGTCAGGACTTGAACAGACGCCCATATGGGATGCTGGTGTCACCGGTTGCAGTTTTACCCATTACGCCATAATGCTGATTGCTAACAGCAGAGTTTTTAGCAGAAGTCTTACAATCCAGGAGGGAATGGAATGATATAGTCCAATTTCTGAATTTATCAATGAAGGAGAAACAAAGACTTTCCAAGACAAGCAAGAAGAGGAAATTCATCACTCCCAGACTGAACTTTCAAACAATGCTAAAGGGGGTTCTGAATCAAGGAACAAAAGAAAGATAACTACCATCTGAAAACAAGTAAAAGCACAGAACCCTCTAGAAGTACAGATACACATACATTAGGAAAGACTCAATCTTGTCAATACTGTAAACCCCCAAACCACAAAGAACAATACAACAAAAGAACACACGAAGAATATTCAAACCAAATGGAAGAATTTTTTTTAATTACAGGACTAAATAATTCCTCATCAGTGATAATCTTGAATGTAAATGAACTAAATTCCCCAATTACAAAATGCAGAATGATGGAAAATATTTAAAAATTATGACCCAGTGAAATGCTTCCTACAAGAAACTCACTTTTTCAATAGAGACCCATTCAGTCTGAAAATGTAACCATGGGAAAAGATAGCCCATACAAATGGAAACCAAAAGTGAATGAATGGGGGGTAGCTGTAATTATATTACACAGAATAGACCTTAACTCAAAACCTGTGAAAAAGACATAAAAGATCACTATATAATGAGCAAGGGACCCTTCAGCAGCAAGATACAGCAGTTGTAAATATATATGGACCCAAAGCTAGAACACCAGTGCACCCCATTTTATAAAACATTTTTAAACCTAAAAGAAGAGATATACCCCAAAACAACAACAGGGTGGGAATTGACCACACTTTTATCAATGGGCAGATGGTTCATACAAAAAAAAGAAGAAGAAGAAAAGAAACATAAGAATTAAACTATGCTATCCACCCAATGAATCTAGCAGACATTTACAAACATTTCATTTAACAAGTGCAGAATATGCATTCTTTTCATCAGCATATTGAACATATATTAGCCTACAAAATAAATCTCAACAATCTTTTAAGATTTATTTATTTATTTGAAAACAGTTTCAGAAATAGAGAAAAGAAAAGAGAGGAAGAGAGAGAGAAGAAGAGAGAGAGAGGAAGAGAGAGCGAGAAGAAGTGAGAGAGAGATCTTCCATCCACTGGTTCACTCCCCAAATGGCTGCTATGGCTGGCACTGGGCCAGACCTGACTCACCAGATTCATCTGAGTCTCCTACATTGTTGGCAGAGGCCCAAGCATCGGACCATCTTCCACTGTTTCCCCAGCAATAGTAACAGGGATCTGGATTTGAAGTGGAGCAACTGGGACTTGAACCTGCACTCATATGGGATGCCAGCTTCACAGCTGACAGCTTAATCCACTACACCACAATGCTGGCCCCTCAACAAATTTTTAAAAATCAAAATTATATCAGGTATTTTTCCTGAGCACAGTGGACTAAAACTAGAAATCAACAACAAAAGAAACTAGGAATTATACAAATATATGGAGATAACAGCATGCTTCTGAAAAAAAAATGAATCAGTGAAGAAATCAAAAGAGAAATGTAAAAATTTTCTCAAAAATATAAATACAACATATCAAAA